TAGGAATACCATCAAACTTAGCAATCTTACTATATTTTGAGATATTAAATCGGGATCTACATATATAGGTCAGCACTCAGCACTCAACTACGGCACTCAGTTATTTTTATTGGATGTGGTGTTTTATTTGTTATTATTTTTTTTTTGTGGATGAACTAACATCTCGATACATCTATACTATTTAGATCAAAAAGCTAAAATATGTAATTTATGACTTTAAGCTCTTGTAGAACATTATGCAAATGACACACTCTCTTTTACTACTAAATATAAATGCTTTTAACTATTTCATTTTTTTTAGACAACTTCAATCATTTTTTCTCAAATTGGTGAGCATTAATTATTAACAATATTTATTTTACACATTCGCAGTTTTTCTCTTTAAAATTTTATAAATATACCAGAAAATAACATGTACTTTACTGGCACGAAAATTAACCTTTAATAAATAAAAAACTGGAAATTTTATATAATGTATATAATTATATATTTGATATTGTCAATTATTAGTAAATTATTTTAGCATAGCAAGGGGAAGTACGTTATAATAAAAATTATAGAGTATGTAATAATTAAAAATTACATCATTTTTAAATTAAGCACAGTCGATTGACTTATTATTCCATTCACACATTTGAATCATATATAAAAATATATATAGGTGGTTCTTCATCATTATGACAATTTCAATTTATTTGTCCGTGGAACCGTCTGCTGTATGCTGTATGACTATCTGTTGATCTTTTCTCGCGCTAGTAACTTACTCACGATTGTTTTATAATCTAATGAAACTTAATGCAGACTCCCAGTCAATGTTAACAAAATATGAAAGGAAAAATTTACCTAGACAATGTACTGCTTATAAAAACAACTGCTGAAACTCTTGTAATATATGTACAATTCTAATGAAATTAACATCAAAAACGAAATTTGGGGATAAATCCAATATCGCTCAATAATATAAATGAAAATGTATAAGAAATTAGTGATTTATAATAAATCTATATGTGTGAAAGTTATTGATGCTTCAATAAAAAATAAATTAATTTCTCGTTTTTAAGAAGTTAGTATTGAAGCTATTGAAGTTAGTATTCATATTTTAGCACTATTAGAATTTATGTTTAAATATTTCTTTATTTTAAATCTTAAAATGCCTTTTTGCATTTTTAGTTATAATTAAAAATTTGATTAAATTTATAATCGTTAAAAATTTTCAGATAGTGCAAACTCGATAGCAAAATGAATTAATTTTAACATATGTGAATCTACAGGAAAGAGCACTTATAAAAACATAAATTGATAATAAAAAGAAATTAATACACTCATTCAAGATATAAAATATATGTTTTTACATTATGAAAGAATATAATGAAAAATGGACTGTTAGTCAAATTAAGAAAAAGTAAATAATTTAATAAAAATTAAATATTGATTACTTATAGCAAAAATTTAAAAAAAGTATTTTATAAAATAATATCTATAACTAAAAATAAATAAAACATTGTATATACCATATTATGCATACTTTTCTAAAAAATTTCGATTGGTGACCAGGTTAGTGTCTCCTAGTATATTACCAGATCAAACTCTTTCTTTATCGCTCAAACAACCAAAAGTCTTCCGATCTCGTAGGAGAATATTTCCAAATATTAGAAGAAATCCCTTGGCAAACAGATATGTGTAGTTGTCTAATTTGTATTAATTATTGAAATTAGATTAAATGATTTGTTCTTTTTTTATATAGTATTATTATTGTTTATTATTTTTTTTATTTATTTTTATATTAATAAATATATAAATATATACAAATAAATAAAATAAATAAATAAATATATATATATATAAATATATAAACAAATAAAATAAAGGTATATATTGGATAAATTGGAAATTTTGTCTACCCTAACATAGTTTCTTTGAAAGTTCAATTTATTTTCGTATGTTCATGACAGAAACTTGCCGTTTTTGAAGAATTCTTTTATTTTGTTATGCAATTTTAAGAAACACAAATATTCAATACAGAATGATTTTTTATACAAACTTTTAATATCAAAATATATGTTTTCATTTGAGGGCTTATTTCATTCCACTGCGCCAAATATTAAGATACGTCACAGTGCGCCAAATATTAAAATACGTCACTGTTCAAATGAAAAACAACAACAATTAGTAGTTATAATTATAAAGAGGTTTGAGTACATACCTACTTAAGAAAATGTCTGACATGAAAAATGATAGGGAATTCTAGAATATCTCCATAAGACACAAAGTTAATAATCGGAAAATATGTCTAACTAAACAGACCAAACCATTTTTCAGATTCTCATAAATTTTACTATTTATAAAAAAAGATATAATATATTTATATAATTATAAAATGTTATAATTGTATAATGTTATATTATTATAAATATATTATGTTATAAAAAAAGTTTATATGTTACTTTTTTCAAAATTTTTCTTGTAGCTGCAAAATTATTTCGTACAACATATAATAAATCTTATAAAAACCTATAAGACACCTTTTTTTATTTATTTATAACCTGAGTACTTTAATTATAGAAATGTACAAATATATTTAATAAAAAAGAGTTTTAGTTCTCTTTACTCAAATATAAGTAATGCTCTCTAATTTTGAGTTGTAGACTAAACTGTCAAGTAATGAGAACAATTTTAAATGGTCTATTGTGTCAAATTAGTTTAGATATTCCCGTACATGCGTGACTTTACGAATATGTATATGACGAAAATACTGGGGAAGTACATATCAACAATTTGGCAAAAAGCTTTCAAATCTATTTGTTTACTTTTTATGTTTATTTTAGTGAAAAAACAACACATTTTTGTACATGAAAAAATATTATCAGTCTTGTGCTATTAGTAAAAGTTGATAGAGGTATTTTTTCTCCTTAAACGAAGATATTAAATAATTTTTATTTTCTATATTGTATTTAAAATTAAAACATAGTGAAAAGTTTGCAATGGTTGAAACAGTACCAGTATCTTCAAAAACTCCACTGAAATTGCCTAATTGGCTGCAGGCAAGTCTTTTCGAAGATAATCTTAAAAAAAATGTACCGAATTACAAAAGCATCAAAAACTTTCAAGTTCAAGAAGCTTTAAAGGCAGGCGAAAATTTTGCCACACAAATGCTGCAGATTGAAATAGAAGTAACTTTACTAGGTAATATTTAATTTGAGTTTAAATTTATATTTTAAATTCTTATAAAAGAAATGCATTCATTGCTGACATTCATTCCTTGCAGATGATAAAACAAAGACTGTATCCTTTATGTTAAAGCTTCCACATGACAGCATTGTCTTCAAGCATATGTTAAAACTACATAATGTCTTTTATATCGAGTCCAGTATGTATACAGAAATTATACCGGAATTGGAAGCACTATATCGTGATGCAGGACTTGAAGTTAAATTTGGTCCTGAATTTTATAAATTGAAATCTACAGAAAACTACATACTATTGGAGGACTTACGTCCTCGTGGTTTTAAAAATGCTAATCGCTTAGAGGGATTTGACACAGCCCATACCTCTTGTACGCTGAAGAAATTAGCTCAGTATCATGCCGCATCGGCAACACGTGTAGCAGTCAAAGGACCTTATCCAGATCTATATAATATTGGCTTTTATACTGAAGCGAATCATTTCTTTATAGACCAAATGAATGATAGCATAGCAAAACATTTTAGAGAGTCTATGATAACCTATCAAGGTTATGAAACGTATAAGGAAAGTGTGGTAAGTAGATTTAAATGATTAAAAAGAGTAATTTCATAAATAAATTAAAATGATTTAGACTTTTAAGAATGCATTTATTCTGTTTATAGATTAATATTAAATCGTTAGTTTATGAACATTTTATTTCACTTCTAATTTTAAAATATGCCATACCCCATATGTTCTTTGGTGGTATATATTTTCACAATATTTTCAACGAGTATTATGCTTTCATTTCTCATAAAAAATAATATCATTATTTCTCTTACATGCTTCTTCAAGGAACAATTGCAATCCAAACTAACAGATGATCTCTATAAAATTACTAAAGTTGATGCAAGTGAATTTAATGTGTTAAATCATGGTGATTTCTGGTGCAATAATATTATGTTTCAATATGATGCCTTTGGTAAAATCAAGGAAACCTATTTTGTAGATTTCCAATTACCAAAATATGGCTCTCCCTCACAGGATTTATTCTACATATTAATATCGTCAACCCAGTTTGACATTAAACTGAAACAGTTTGATTACTTTATTAAATACTATCACGAACATTTAATAGAACATCTAAAACTATTGAACTATCCAAAGCAACTGCCCACTTTGAGAGATTTACAGCTACAGCTCTGCAAATATGGACTATGGGGTTATCTCTATAATACATGTAATATATTATAAAGAAAAACTAATAAATATTTCTAGGTTACCTTACCGCAACTGGTGTTATGGGCACAGTACTAATGGAATCTACTGAAGATTCAGAAGCCAAAAAAATACTTGGTGATGCCGCTGCTGGAGAGAGATTTAAGAGGCTTGCGCTTACAAATGACAGATATCGGAAACATATTGAACCTTTAATGCAATGGCTACTAAATCGCGGTGCACTGGAGTGATAATTATCAATTGTTTACGTCAACTATTTTTTATTATTAACTTAAACTTGTGATTTCTGCAAAAATTTTTATAATAATTTTGATCAGCTTGATAATCAAACTTTTATATACGTTTTGTTAAATATAGTTTTCTATAATAAAACAATATAAAGTCAGATAATACTTACAAGCACAGTTAAGGAATTTGATATGAATTTAAAAAAGTTTATAGCTTTACTTCCAATGAAATTATTAAAATTCTTAGAAAAATGCACTGTTTTTATTTTACTTTTGTATATGAAAGATTAGTTTTAAATGTTGATCTATATTTAATATAATATATTATAATATAACATTTACGTTTATAATACTCATAATATTTACAAGTTAATTATGCATACCATAAATGATCTATATAATCTCGATTCATAAATAATTTACTATTTCTGTTTAAAACATAAAAAAATTTAGCAGTTGATAAGATATTTGTTGTGAAATTTTGCTAGAAAGGTAATACCATACCTGGAAAGGGTTTTTTAGATTTTGATTTTGATTTTAATCTGCTTCATACATTTTTTCTCCTTAATTATTTCCTAAAGCAAAACGGATCACCTGTTGATAAATTTTAAACAGTTGGAGAGCTTTAGTATAGGAGAAGTTAAATGCTTGACAACGTCTATATTACAATTATTTTTATATTGGACTTATATTTGGGAGTCAGTATAACCTATTATATATCTCTATAGGCTTATAAAGTTATTACGATTATACTATGCTATATTTAGGTATCTATTAAAGTGATTAATGGACTTAAGTTTGAGGTATTAGACATTAGTCTATATATTTAGTTAATTATATGTATTTTAAGCTAATTTTATTAATAAAAAAATAAAACCCATGGCAGTTAGCTTTCCATATAAGATGAATATTTGATAAACAAGAACTTTATTGAAACGGTTAATAAGAGGCAAATGCATAAACTTTATAATAGTATGTATTAAGCCCAGAGCATATTTTTCATTTAAACATGTACCAAAATGATTTTTATTACTGAATGGCTTTAACTTTAACTATTTAATAAATATATTTCAACTAATGGAGATGCAGATATTAACTGTCACATGTTAAGGCATGTATTTTGCAAACATCACAAATACAGTTTGTGCTTCTTAAAAATAAAACATAAGAAACCTGCCTAGAATATGTTACAATATAAAGAAATAAACTGCAGTCTAGAATATGTGCAATTTATAAATACATTAGATAAATTCTATTAAGATCCGCATTGCTATAGTTCAGATTTAGATTTGGTCATTCTTTTACAAATCGGGCAACTTTCGGACATCTCCGATTTAGCTGAAATTCTTTTTATAAGATCCTTTCATAAAATAAGAATACCCGTATCTTGGGAAAAAAATTTGTAATTTTTTCCCTAAGAGATATGGACCAATGGGGTTTTGGCAATTAACATTGTAGACACATTCTTAAACGACCATATCTCAGACTCCATAAATGATAGAAACTTGAAATTTATTGCATTTTAAAAATAATTGATTGAATTTTTAAGAAATAATTTAAACAATTAATATTGTTTATATTTAAGTACTAATATTAACCGTTAAATTTCAAAAAAAAATTTTCCAATAATGAGGTCATTCTTGCCAAAATCCGTCCGATTTGTGAAAGACTGACCCATATGCAAATTACTAATTCTGCTCTATTTACAACTAACTTTAATTAATACTTTTTAAATGTTATGTATAGTATAACCAATTTACCGAGAGCATTCCATACCAACACCTTTGTTTATAATTGAACAAATAGATTGTCAATTACATTAAATCTAAAATAATAACAAAGCTCATAGTAAGGTGTATATTTTTTTTATAATTATGTTATTTGCATTTGACAAATACTGGCTAGGCAAATATATATATATTTAAAAAGGGAGTAATTTTTTATAAATTTATTATAATGCAATTATTGGCAAGTCATGTGTACTCACTTTACAATGCGACTAGCGTCTTATTTGTTTTTATTGTTGAAGTACATGTGTACAACTAAATTTTATAAGATCAAATAAGGCATGGACTTATTAATATTCAATTAACATATGTAAATAAATGTGATAAAAATATTTATTTATTCTAAGGTGAGTCTTGACTCATTCTCTGAGGCAAATTCTGATATTCCATTTGATATACTCGTAAGCTCACACTATCAAATTGGCCAATATCAGCAAACAAATAAACAAACAAACGAAATTATGCATTTGAAACTCTATCTATATCAAACTATATCACATGTCTATAATTGGAGATACTCTATTCCATAATTATTGTCGCTATAAAAGAAAGTGGGAACTAAAAATGGTAAAAAAAGTTATCAATCAAACAATTGAAATATCTCAAATAAAAGCATTCGCAATCGATTTGATTACTTGGCACTTACGTTAGTCGTTTGATTTTGGGGTTGGGTATTTCGTTACCTTATTTGTTAATGTTATAAATTAACCTTTTTAATAATTTGATAAGAATATTTTCCTATGAATTCATGTTCTTAGCCAAAAGCAGCTTAACTGGTAAGGCATACGAAATGTTAATTGGCTTGCAACAGTTCAGTGGGATTTTTGCATTTGAAAGGTAAAAACTGTGGAATATTGAATATAGTAAAATGAAATAAAATTTCCATTTAAAATACAATTGTTTATACAGTTTGATAAATTAATTTTCTTTTAACATTTTTTGAATCTTATCAGTTTCATTGAAATCTATTGTGTACCAAATTCACTCAGGCATTTTATAGATTGCTGTCGCTGGCAACTTCCCTGCATATTTTAGTTAGTCGTGTTGTTGAATAAAAAAACTAAAGTGAGCTGTGTTATATTTTTCTATAAATAATAATTTGTGTAATTAATTATTTAAGTGACATAAATTACAAAATCAATAAAATTAATTCAACACTTCAAGTACTTTCATAATTTAATATTTTTATACTTAATTAAACGATTAAATTTAGTAAGTTATTCCTTACACTTTTGATAACTGTTGACTCAACTTCCAAACATATTAATTTCTTTAATTCAAATTTTTTCATTACCATAAATTATATCAAAAAAAAATAAAAACTGTAAACCTTTATCAATTATTATTGTTATCAAATTGCTGAAGTGATTTAAGTTAACTAAGTTTAAAGTTTATAATAGCGATTGTTTTAAGTGCTGCTGTTTTGACTAATATGCATATACATATTTTTAATTTACAGGAAAATATAATAAGTGATAAGGTTACTTTTAAAGTAAATATTAAAATTTCAACCCCCTGCACACTTAAGCACCGCCTTTTTATTAAGAGCGACATCTGGTGGTGAAATTTTGCAATATATAAATATATAACAGTTGCCCCAAGCATGGACTTAAACCGAATGAGCAAAATGAAATGTTGTATAAAAATCAAACCTTCTACCAAGAAATGTAAACTATTATTAATAATACTACCTTTGAATTCTACTAATACTTTTAAATACTAATTCAAAAAGTGAATTAACATTATATAAGATCATAGTAAATAAATAGTTAAATAAAGTAGTGGATGTATGGTATATAAAAAATAAAGCCACGAAAGAAGGATTTCTCATTGTCTGCATGGATGAAGCAGTTGTTTCTTTGATCTTCGATTTAATTTATATTAAAATTGTTCATTTATTGAAATATACTCATTCCTTACAAGAACTGTATGCATAGACTCTCATCCACAATGATCATATAGTTTATTTATATAGTATGCAGGTTGATTTAAATAAAAATTATTTTTCTAGAATAAAAAATAAATCCTATCATCTCTTACTACTGCTATATGAAAGTTCAACTCTTCACAAAAAAACTATCCCATTATCCTACCAGTTCCAAATGCAATAGAAAATATTATTTCTTAGAAATACTTTCGCTTCTAGTGCTATATAGCAACTGCAACTAAATATTATAAAACTAAATGAAGAATATGCTTATTAAAGACAGCTTTGCTCATTTAATTATCGTCCAGCTAAAACAGAGAGACTTTTTTGGTTTCATTAGAATAATAGGATAATGAAACATTTTCTATACCGTATCATTATTGATAAAAACTGGATATATCATGTGAATATTAAATAAAAATTCATTATCTGTAGCGATACCTAATTATATGCTCTCGAAACTATGAGCTCTTTAAGCGAATTAAAACAATCGATCAATTCAATGAGCGGTTGTCACCCCATTAATAACTTTTTTATCAAAGGATAAGAATTAAATCATAATAATATGAGATAAAACTAAATGCAACTATAACTGCGGCATATATATGTGTCGACTAAATAAATAATTGCAGGTATCATGCCAAAACACTAAAAATCTGGCTTTCGAAAAGAAGAAAAATTATTTGATAGTGCGAACTCATCAAAGAAGATCTAATATAGGAAAATTGACATAGTCGGTATTGAGAAAGCTAAAAAAATATTAATAATTGCTAGTATTAATATTTAAATTACAATATGTTCAACTGTATTTGAAATTAACTTTAGTATCAAATAAATAATGTGTTTAGTACTGTTTAATGAAGCGATAACAAAACGACGTCAACTAATTAATATATAAGGCTCCACAATATTCTTTATGTTAATAAAAAAAAATATTGAAAAAAAAGTAATTGACGTAAAACTGAATTTTTCCTGCAAATCTTCCCTGTCCACCTATAAAATCTATAAGTAAAAGTTCTATAATTCAGTTGACTTCAAAAATGTGTGACAATAATAATCAAGTAAAGCTAATATTAAATAAAAGAATACAAGCAGGTTATAATAACCAACATAGTGGCGGCCTCAATGAAAACAAGGAACACAAAGTAAAAGTGGAGATAGTTAGATAAATATAGGCTTAAGTCCTCGAAGAACCGTTTCCACTTAAGATGATTATTTTCAAAGTAAACTTTGTTTCTAATTTAGTGTTCCCTTGTGATGTGATTAGATTCACCACAATATATTATTCCTTCGTTATTTTCTATTACCTACCTGTCGATTCTCTTGTTTTCTATATATTCTCTATATGATTTTCTACCTTATATTTATTTTTATTCTCTCATCTCTATGATTCTTTTTGTTTAATAATTTAGACTTTGGTACCATTCAAAACTATTTTATTTTTGTACAGTATTTGTAGAAGATTCTCATACGATATTTTAAGAACTAAACAAATCGTGTTAGTCTTTATTATATTTTATTAATTTTTTATTTTTTAACTTTACAATTTAACATAATAGATGGGCTAATAGATCTAAACTGATCCATTGAATGACCTGTATAACCTATTTATGTAATAAGCTTATGTAAAAGTTATTGCTCTGAATTGTATATTCAAAAATTATACTTTTCTAATTATTTTTCCTTGCAGTTCATAATGGCACCTATAGCAAACGGATCTGCAGCACAATTGCTGATCGAGAACAATTTACCACTATGGCTGGACACTGTGAAGTTACAAAAGGCAGTGCAAAAGAAATTAGGAAATTTCAATTTAATCAAATCCATAAACATTGAGGATCACATTAAGTCCGAAGAAGATTTTTCATCACTTATGCTTCGCATCAATGTGGAAGTAGAAGTTGATGGTAAGTTCCTATTACTATAAAAGTGGAAAATATATACCTATACATTCAAACATTCAATACAATCAAAAAAATTATAGCAATCGCAACTGTAATAAAAATAAAATTATTATTGGCTTTACTCTATCAGGAACATAGACTTGTTACATAGAATCTCCAACTATTTCTGTCTCTAGCAATATAACCTAATTCATTTTAAGATTTGCCGGTTTCATTTGTTATCGTTCTTCTCCAAGTGTTACATAGTGTTTCTATGTGTCTGTTGCCTTGGGAGTTCCATTGAAGTGTTGTGTCGTATACTTCCTCGTACGCTTAACTTGTGTGTTGATATCTTCTTGGTTTGTTCGTTGAAGTAGTTCCATATTTGAAATTCTACGTGGCCACTAAATTCTCGAAATATTACGCAGACATCTGTAATTAAAATTTTGAAGTATTCTTTGTATTTTACTGTTGACCTATAAAGTTTCTGACCCATAAAATTGGACGGATTTTACACAGGCTTTGTAAACATGAATTTTTGTTTGAGGAGATATTTCATTTGAATTTCATACACTGCAAAGATTACAGAACGCTATTCTGATATACTGCTATTCACATCCATGTGTATTAAAGTAAATACCCAAATAGCCTTTCAATAATGAAAGGTCATCAACATATTTTTATATTTGGATCTTTATATGTTTGAAATATCATAAATACTCATGCAACTATTACTCTATCCATTTGATAAAAGTAATTATTAACTTTGATTAGTTTTAATTATATCAGCAATCACAAATATTCAACTTATTTGCTAGTAAATGTATTATAATTTCAGCTGGAAATACCACCACTACTTCTTTTATATTGAAGACCAATTATGCCAATGAAGAGATTATCAACATTGTCAATACACTGCAGTTACTACCAAAGGAGGAAAAAATGTATCATACAATAATTCCGAAATTTGAGGCACTTTACGGAGATAAGACTAGCAAAAAAGTAAAATTTGCTCCACAAGCATTCAAATTCGACAACAGTTTGGATACAGATTACATACTGTTGGACGATTTGCAGACAAATCATTATAAGAACGTAAAGGGTGCAACACTCAATATGGAGCATATGAAGCATGCATTGAACAAACTAGCAGAATTCCATGCCGCTTCCGCTTGTTATGTGGAACACCATGGCATGTTTAGCGAAGAGTTCACAGTAAGCATCTTCAGTGAATCAAATCGTATTTTGCTTAAAAGGTTCAATGCATCTGATGTATTCCTACAACATTTGAAGAAATGGAAAAATGGTGATTATTATTATCAAAAACTCGCTGATAGCGATAAGTATATCATTGATCGTTTACTTGAATTACAAAAAGTTAATCCCCGTGAATTTAATGTGCTCAATCATGGGGATTGTTGCGTTAACAATATAATGTTCAAGTATGATGCATCGGGCAAAATAGAAGACACAGTATTTTTAGATTTTCAAGTTGGAAAATATGGCTCACCAGCTAATGATTTGTATTATTTAATTTTATCTTCGGCCGATTTAAGCATAAAATATACAGAATTCGACTTCTTTGTTCGTTTCTACTACGACAAGCTAATTGAAAATCTGAAATTGCTGGAATATCATCGGCCACTACCTAAACTACGGAGTTTACACAATACTCTACTCAAACACGGCTTGGCCGGTAAGTGTTTAATTAACATCAAATTATATTTTCAATTTTACCTTATTTATTTATAGCTTACATGGTTGTATCGAAGGTGCTACCAATTATAATGTTGGACAAAACTGATAACAAACACTACTCAAATTGTTTAAATGACGAGACGAAAATGAGAGAACTCATGTACAAAAATCACAAATACGTGCAGGCCGTGAATGAATTATTGCCATGGTTGGATAATCGCGGCTTGTTGGACTGGAAATGAGGAAGTTAATTTTTGACATCTTATTTTATTAAAAATTATTCTGTTGAAAAAATTGTATTCCATGTCAAAGCTTTTTGTTTACAAAACGTTAACGTATTAATATTCTATAATTATAGACAGATTTAAGGTTAAAATTATTTTAAAAATAATTTGTCATGTCATTAGAGTGTGTTTAATAAAAATATATATTTTAATCTTGAAAAAAACCCCAGTATTTAAGCATATAAACAAAACTTTGGTGATTTGTTAAACACAATAACCAGATTCTAAGAACTGTGTGTACTAGTGTTGTTAATCTAAAAATAATTGCAACTTCTGATTTAATGACTGTAATTGTTCTCTTCATGAATTAAGGAGTTGATTATATCATATATCAGAACACACTGACAAAAACAATGTAAATAATATAACATATGAGTTACATGTTTTTAATATATATATACGTTTTAAGTTAGATTATACAGGCGACCCTTATAAGAATTAAAGAGTTTAAGAATAACCTTAAAACTTTGGCAAAACCTGATATACTCTTCTGAGAGAGATCCTGAAGCTGGCCTAGATCCTCAAAAGAAATTCTTAACAAAACAGCTGTAAGACACTTTCAGCGTCCTCTCCCTCAACTGTATTTTAATATCTATTACCTTTTAACAAAAAAAAAATCCAGTTAGCTGCCATTAAACTATAATCTTCCAAGAAAACACCTAAATTTATATTAACAATTTGAAATAAATGTATCATCTAATCTTTCCTCCAAGATATTTGAAACCATAATGAGGGGTATTATAACTGAAAAGTAAGTAATATGGTAAAAAAATTTAACCGGCTTGATTCATTGTGTTTGAAGTAAGAAGTATCTACTTAACTACTATTGTCACAAAACATTTTTCTGAAATTTTAAAAATTTTAAAATTTAAACCAAATTTTCAACAAAATAACCAAATATAGACTTAAAACCTATGAAAGGTTTAAAGAGATTTAAGATATGACATACTTTCGTCAAACTCTTCGTAGCAAAAATATATATTACAAAGCAAATCTTGCGATTTCATCTAGTATAGATTTCATCTAGCTTATATTAAGACTATAGTATTGTAAGAGAATCTCTAGAATTTAAAAGAAGCCAACCAGAATAAAGATGTTTACAAATTGATGAACTTTCTTATCTAAAATTATTTGCTGCACAAAAGATTTGCCATGATGATCGCACGACTCTACTTGGTTTCCGTTGAGAGACAGTATTCTATAAAAGATCGAATGTGAGAAAATATTTTTTTCGAATGCCATTACTGCTTAAGCAAACATCTTTCCTTCCGCATTCTCTGAGCTATTGACGACACGTTCACAAACAGATTTAAAGGAATAGGTAAACGACTGCTGATATGATATTATATATACATATAATAAATACTTTGCACATAACAGTTTGTTTCATTTTATATTAAATTTTAAGAAATTTCACAAAACTATTCACAACAGCATAATTTTATACTGAACAATACTGTATAAAGGTGAATTGTCCAAATTTAAATTAACTTGATTTTTAGAAATGACGACGCAAATCTATTTTCAGTTGTCAAAATTCCCATACAAATCTTATTGACTTGAACTTTTTTTCCTATCAAAATCAAAAATAATTTAAGACTACTGCGGAAAATGTAATCAAAACTCTAGTGGTAAACGCAATTCCAATTGCAAGCAATTCTTTAAGTTGAAGACTTTCAATGGTGGATGTAAAAGCAATGACAGATCTTGCATTGACTCGATGAAAACTATGAAAATATTATTAAACTGAACTATTTATCAGTTAGCTATCACTACTACGAAATACATATTACTGCTTAGAAATATACTGAAAAAAATATTAAAAAAAAAATATTAAAAATATATATTAAAAATATATATTAAAAATATACCATATTTGTTAAAAATATGTATTTTATAGAAATTATTTTTATTGCTTTTTCAAAAACTTTATTCCTAGTATAACCAATGTGAGAGAGTGTTCATTTATTTGAATTGAAGTAAAACTACATTTTTATGTTCGTAAAACATTTTCTCAACATATGTTATGGTAGTGGAATACTTTTTGCAATTACTGTAGGTCGGCTTTCTTTTCATATAATATACTTATCTGTATATATTAGTTTTTACAAATTAACGGAGAGACTAAATTTAAGATTAATTTGTTGAAATTTAAACGTAGTTTCTCTTTTTTAAAAAAAATAACCATATCTTTTTATCTTTTATTGAAACAGTATCTCGTCAGTTTCAGTCAATATTTACCGGACTTTGGACTTTTTATGAGAAATGACTCCGCAGTTTTTGAATTGCTTTTTAATAGATTTTATTTATGAGTTGAAAACATAAATTTTAAATGTCATTGTTAATAAAAATTATTCACCTACAATATATAATGTAATACAAACAATTTAGATTTCATATGGTTATTTGCAAGTTTACGAAAAAAATAGTAATTTGTATTAAGGAGAAATAAATTAATTAAATATGCACACATATCAGACACAATCACTTTTTTATATTTACTTAAATATTTTACACCACTTTTAGAGATCATAATAGTTGCAAAGAACCGATTGTTTATACTAGAAAATTAAAAATCCAATTTCCATACAATTAAATAAAATTAATAAAGATTTATACTTATATAGATTTAGACTTATATAGACTTATAATATATAGTCTTTAATTATATTACTTTTGTAAGTGCAAATGTACAGATCTGATTTACAGATCTTAAAATTCCACGGTCCTTAAGACAACATTAAATAATATTCACATTTAATTAAATGCCAAAAGGGAAAACTTAAGGCCGTTTAAATGATTAAAGAGGCATTTTAATATTTTTTTTTTTGTTAAAAAAAATTACTCTATTATATTTTATACATATTTTTGAATGTTTAATTTCTTAATCACCAAAATTGTTATTATTATGTTACAAATTCTTGCATATATTTGTTAATTACTTACAGAAAATGGACATACCTCAATTTATGGACCTGTGATATGGACCTTGTTTAGTATAATCTTCACAGTCAAAAATAAAAAATCATGTTTTATTTATAAAAATGTGACCTTTTCATTAACAATAGCCACTTACAAAAAATCGTTAGGTCTGTAATATTTAACCTTGTTTTGTTCTATATAATTTATTATATTGAAGAGTTGACCAAAAAGGATGGTCATAAATAAATCGGCACAAGTATGTAAATGCGCAGACAAATTACTATAATTGTGCTGCAGAGAAATAAATATTATTTATAGAAATGCTGTAAGTTTTAACACAGAAATTAAAGACACAGATAAGTAGGAGCAGAAACAAATACATTATTATACTCGTATGTTAAGAATTTTTAATGCATTAAGCTATTTACTAAACATAACATCTGAGAATGCTTTATATATGAACATTATGTTTGGAATCTTATTTGTTTAAGGGGTTCTGTCCATCATCAGATAACGGTCCTTAAGTTATAGTCTCATTACAACAAACAGTCCGAATGATTGCTATTTAGCAAATGTTCGTAGGCTTGGTTGGATAACCATTCATTGGATTATCTTTAAAACGCAGTAAATTTCGAGTTCCTACCATTTATAGAACTTGAGATATAGCCATTTGAAAATGTATCTACAATGCCAATTCTCAAAGCCCCATGGGTTTATATCTTCTAAGAAAAAAAATTACAAAATTTTTTCTCGAAATATGGGTCTTCTTATTTCATAAAAGGAGTCCATAAAAAAAAATTTTAGTCAAATCGAGATCATGGGTTCAAAAAGGTGTCCGATTTGTAAAAGAATGACCCATAATACAATATATGCAACAAATATAAAAACTGAATCCAATACTCGTCAAATCATGACAGCAGCTTTAAAGGATCTATATCTGAGATTTGGATATCTGCCAAGGAACTTTGTTGATTTCAGATTATTAATATGACAGTGATGACAAGTTTCATCACTGGTTTACCACCTATTACTCGTATTATTAATTGTTTTATTTAGGTTTTACTTAAAACGGATTTTGCATAAAACGAATGATTTCTTTAGTCTCCTTTAGAACGTTTTAAGCATGAAATACTGTAAATATAAAAAGAACTTACCTCTATGCACTGGACACTTGTATGTTCCAAATATATTGACCAAATAAATAAAAAAATAAATCTAATTTTTCACACACAATAAATAATAATCTTATGCAAATTACATTTTATAGAACAAATTTACTTAAATGTATTTATTATTTTCAAAATTTACTGCTAATGCAACAGCGATTC